TGGGTGTGGGTGTGGGTGTGGGTGTGGGTGTGGGTGTAAATTATTTTTTCATCGCATCCAAACCCACACCCACACCCACGACCACACTCACACCCCACACCCACACCCACACCCACAACCCACACCCACACCCCACATCCACACCCACATCCATACCCACAACCCACACCCACACCCCACATCCACACCCACATCCATACCCACACCCACATCCATACCCACATCCCACACCCACACCCACGCCCACACACCCACACCCCACACCCTTTAAAAAAAATCGGTTTATTACCACACTTAACAAAAGGTTTAGCAAGCTGCTAAACCACAGAGGAATCTTCTCTCAAGTACATTGAAAGAACCTTCACTTCGAAACCTTTTTTTAGACTTCGTCGTTAAGTAAAGCGTTTGGTACAGAAATTACAAAACTTCATAGGTTTAACAGAACACCTTGAGGTTTTGATACAAAACCTCCAGAAATTTAAAAAAAAACCAAGAAAGTTTTATAGCTTTTCTACAAAACCTAACAAAGGTTCTAAATTAAAGATTCTTCCCGTGTGCCCGACGGAAGATCCTTTTTTTGGTTTAGCAGCTTGATAAACTTTTGCTAAGTTTAGTAATAAGCTGATCTTTTTAAAGGGAACTGATTCTGATTGAAACTGAATACTCTTTCTCGTCAAGATGTATTGAGGATATTAGGAATCGCTATCAAATCAGTCTGACTGAACTAACAAATCTGTATTTACAACGATACACTGTCAGTCAATATGTAGTTAGCATTGCAAAAATTCAAAGAAATACTTATCTCGTTCTCTTATTACCGTTCACTCTCATCCATTTTTCTGTAAACAAATGTGAGTCTAGCTAATGGCTTTATTTTAAGTTCAATGAGACTTTTAGCGAAAATTCGCCTTTTTTGGCCATACAAAACACATCAACCGGGAGTATTCGCAATTGGGTCACAAAAATTGATTTTAGTGGAAAAGTGTGAATGAATCAAAAATCATTTCATTTTACTGCAACTTGTGTAGAATAACAGAAAAAAATATTGATAGTAGGCGCATGCGACAAATGATACCTTCGTATTTTTTGAGATGCTATTTGTCTGCTGCCAGTATCCATGCAGATTTTTCAACCCTAT